TGATGATGATGATGTTGATGACGATAACGATTATGATAATGTTATTCATCAGTATGAGCAATGTTTGTTTGATAGTAAAAATATGCAAATTTACTTATTTACACATTTATCTCATTATATTAACACGTATATATGTATGTATGTATGTATGTATATGTGTGTGTGTGTGCGTATGCTTAATTATTCGAACTGGTGCCTTCGGTGCTATCGCCTTCGGTAAACATACTACATTACATGATTTGTTGAGACAGTAAAGTTAAATACTATTCAGTATTTATAACTTGTAATTGTATAAAGCAATGTATAGTAAATTACTTTTAACGAGTTTTTACTGTTTAACTTTATTATACCATGTCTATTAATTAGTTGTAAGTTACACATGTAAGATTTCATGGCAATCAATATTAATGGACGATGCCACAGATCACTTCATCATTGTGAGCTAACAAAGTAATTGGGTGAACATATATAAATCTAATCATGTTAGACTGAACACAGTTTTATAAAATTAAAAGGGCAATGAGTAAATGAATTACATTTGTAGTGAACAGAACACCAGTGGTGACAATTGAATATACTAGACAACAAATTACAGAAGTAATTAGGAAAATCTAACAAGCATATATAGTAAATAGTCAATTTGCAAAATGTTCATCCATTGTCTCAAATGACTCAAACTTCCTTTGTTCTTGTATTTTCATACAAATTGCATTCTGTCTTCATTGTTTACTGTTTGATCTTCTTGTCTCTCTGCTACCAGACATTCTGTTCACTACTCACGTCATATAGTACTTATGTCTACATAAGTAGCACACACCACATATTAAGACATTTAATTTTATGCCTGTTAAAATGTTACAACTATTGAGTTAGGAAATTATTTTGCTATGGGCTCCATTATTGTCATTTATTGATATGGTCATTAGGTACTCTACTATTGCTCGGCTTCATCTTCAATATGATTTAAGAGACTACTGCTATCGTTATCTTTGTTATCCAGCTAACCAGAGTAATAAATTTAGTTGTTGTATAGAAGCTTTATTAACAGAATCAAAATACTTTTAAAATAATCAGTTACTTATATATAGATTGCAACATTCACAGTTAAGGAACTGGTCAGCTCTCAATTAACATAAATCATATTAAAAAATACATTAAAATTTCAAGAATAGAATCTACAATAAATCTGACTTTATTTCTCCTAAGTTGTATTTGGGGATTTCACATTCCGAACATTTACATTTAAAGATACAAATCCGACATTGAAGCCACTTTTACGCCAGTTTATGTGAATATGGCAACAAGTTGTGTTTTTTTAACTAACCGCTACATAGAAAACATGACTGGGATAAAACTATGAGTACTGTAATCAAACACTACATTAAAAATGTACTTAACAATTGACTTTTAGACAGAATTTCATTTAGTACCAACTTCTTGAACCAACAGTTCATTTTTTTGTAAGGACCGATCTGATGTTCTTTACTCCAACGTATAATTATTCACAGATTCGAACTCACATCACTTAGTTCCACTTTGAAAGGAATCAATGTCAAGCTTTTCTATTGGTTAGTGGTGAATAGGTTCTTCATCTTGTTTGAGGTCATAAAAATATTCTTAATACTTATAGGAATTACTCGGGCATTTATCTTATATGATTATGATCCTGATATTTGTATTTTGATATAAATTGTTTCATAGTCCCTAATTTAGAACACATTATGTTATAAAAAGACTATAGGAGCATGATTAAACATAAACTTTTATGATCAAAAATAGAAAATTAATAATTAAGTTTTACAAAGATATTTCATTTTGACTTGTGTATAGATGCCTCTTTGAAATTTAATTCATGAACTGAAGAGATTTGTCGAAATCCATAAGGCTTAATGTTCATTACTCTGTCAGACAGAGTAAGTAGTTCAATGTTATATTCATCCTAACCTCTTCTACTTTAACTGTACACAATTAAAAGGAACTTCACATTGGAATAATGAAAAGAAGAATTGAATAAGATAAATCATAGTATGGTAATCACTTCATAGTGTTAATCAAATGGTGTATTTAACGACATTACCTTAGATTTTGCTACAAATGTCTCTATTTGGATTTTACCCTTTGAAACTTGTTCAATTCATTTCATTGAAATAAGCCTCAGAGATATCTGAATTAATATGATCATAGAACATGTCAATTATATTATTATACAATTCCTTAATTAAACTACCTACAGAGACTTGAATACAGTATATCTATTTGAATAGGATATGTTTTTCAACTCTTGATATGACTACATCAATCAATTTATCATATTACTAATATATATGTTTATGATATCCCAACGACTATTATTAACTTTCTAATCAAGGCTAAATTTATTTGAAACTATCAAGTCGAACCTTGGTATTGTTACTTAAAATAATTTTACATCAAAAGAATTGGACAATACTGGTCGGTGGCCTATTCTCCGTTAGGAGTAACAGGTGTAAGTAAGTAAACATATGAAAAAGAGTTTTCTGAATTTAATCAATTAAAATGACATACTCTGAAGAGTCCCATAATAGGACGAAACGGCCGTCTACTGCTTCTAGGTTTTCTATAGTGGTCTAGCTTCAACTGACTCATGATCTTAATCATTGAAACATACTCTTTGTTAGATGATTGTATAATGTACTATTAGTTAAATGAATAAGGAAAATTTACCATAAATATATTATGATTATTATGTCTAGATGATATTACCCAGTGAATTATTGTATTTTAGTTATCGTTTCTCAAATGTCATCAACAACCTGTGTTTAATTGATCGGTTCAGTAGTTGTCATGGTGTGAGTGAATTTCATATATTAGGATGTTGTTTCAAATTATATTAGAAAAAAAAATAGATAAAAATAAGTTAATGAATATCGTTTTGGATAAATTCAATTTTAAATGGATGTTTAGCTTGTTTCCATTCAAGAAGTAAACACTAATGTAAAGCTTATACACAAAGTTAAGGTGATGTTGAACAATAATTATGTAAAGAACTTCTAAGAAGAATTCTCAAGTTTTTGATAAGAAATCATGACTTAAATTTGAAGTATAAGACATTGAATGTCAGCACTGATGGGAATTACCATACTAGAACAAAAGATTCGTCCACTATAGCTTGGGTTCTAATATTTTTATGGTTAGGGTCATTTTTGTTATCCAGATAATAGATTGTATATAAGCTAGATTCGAATGAGTATAGATAATTTACTAATGAATCATAACTAAAATTCTATAATTAACAATTCCAATAGCCTATAACTTTTTATGTATCCTTTTTGACAAATTTATGAATATCTAGCACAAATTAGTAAGATAGGATACAATCGAGTTAGTGAGTAGAACTCATTTACTTCACAAAGTGTTGATCAGTCCATGCTAGGACAAAACGATCATTCAATGCTTCCTAGTTTTCAATGATGATCTAGCTTAGATCAACTTGTGTATTCAACTCTATATATGTCACCGTTCTGATGACGTTTGAGTGGACATTCATCATCTACTCAAAACGAACTATCGAAATTATTTTTATCAGTTTTAACTTAATTACATATCTTCTTTTATCTAATATAATTTCTAATGTAACTGAATGTATTTCCATGTATATTTTATACTGATACACATTTATATTTCATTTTTAACATGTGAATTTGGAATCTATTTATTGATTTAAAGTTTATGTGTATACATATATGCCAAATGAACAATAAAATGTATAACTACTCTTTAGTTACCATCTACTCATTTAGATTGTTTATCTTTTAGATAATAATAAAGCATTTCATTATCATATTTATCATTTAATCTAAGATTATCTATGTAAGTGAAAACAAGTTTATATGAGATTTTACTCCTTATGAACTGTATCATTCATGATCTGATCTATAATCAACAATGATCAATGTTGTTATCACACTATACAATACCATATGATCGATTCATATCAATGAAATTTTACTATAAAAATATTGAAACAGATTATATAACATTGTCTTGACAATTACAGAAAAAAAAATGATAATTTCAATGTCTATAGTTTAATGTCACCTCCACCCTCACCCCCACACACACACCCCTCCCCCACTAATGTTTCATCACTAATTTCTTAATTCAAATTAATTATTGTAAAGAATTTGGATTGTATTTCCCGAGGGTAGATGTTAATATGATTTGGTTTGCTTGTAATTGAGTTAAATGATTATTAATTAGTTAACTGATATAAATTAGTTTTTTCAATGTTTGTCTAGAAAATAATATTTGTGATTCCGGTAAAAACAAAAAAGTCTACTACTGTTATTTCTAAAAAACGTTTAAGGATTTATATTCAGAAGCAAATGAGGATTATACATGTTTGATGGAGTTTTGTTCTCTGATCTGGATGGTTTGATCGTGGAGCTTTTATCGTTCTTCTGAATGACATCATCATCAGCACAAACTTCAGATTGAAGATGATATCGTTCAGAAGAACGATGAAAGCTCTATCAACAAACCATCCAGCTCAATGAACAAAACTCCATCAAAATCATTCACCTGAGCTACAAATCTTCTCCATCATCTGAAGGATTATACATACAAAAAAATAGGTTCCATTTAAAATGCGATAAATCATAAAAGTAGTAATTTGAGGGGAAATTTCTTCCATACAAATAAAGTTAGAAATAGAAGCTGGAATACAGAACTGTACAATGAAACTAATGTGTGATAGAATTATCAATAATAAAACTAATTTGTGATTCCATCAGTTATCAGTTTCATAATATGATTATGTCAATGATAAAAATCTCTAGGGTAAGATATGATTGAAAAGAGGAAATCAATATATTCTCTACGAATCAACGCTTTTTCCATTAAACATTCTTTAAAACATACCAGCTGTTGATTTGATAGGGCCAGGATAATAGGCATGTCTTTTTAAATTATATATTTATATTATATTATTTTAATTATAAAACTGTACTCTTTAAACTTACATATAATCTTGGTTTATTAATTGGACTTGTGTAGATGTAAAAATCAGCAAATGTAGGTACATTCAGTTGAACTTGTAAATGTTTGATTGAATCCATCCATGACCAATTTTTTGCCATATAAAATTGTTGAGTTAAATATGAATCCCAAAATAAACGTTTTGGCCATATTGATGTTTGATTAACTATATTAGCACCAGTTACATTTGATGCATTTCTATCTAATAACCATATTCCATTTAAAAGTGGTGCTACTTTTCTCATTAATGGATGTGCACCAAGCCAATTTCTTAATGAAGTTGAAGAACATGAATCATAAAATTGTGCAACTTTATATTTAGCTGAATTATATTGTCCATATGAATTTGTATAAATATTACGTAATGAATTAATTATTGCATGTACATTAATTTCAGTTAAATGTTCAATCATTGGCCTATCAAATCTTAACATTCGTCGACTTCGACCATTTTTAAAATAATCTTGTATAGTATCTTTACCAAAAGCGCTTGCAACAACACGATGAGCTTGTACAGCTGGTTGTTCAGCATTTTGATCTGGATGAAATGGTGAATAATAAGAACCACATGCAAATTGAAAAAAATTTTCACATGGTGAAATTGTTTTATTCATATGTGAAATAATTGAACTAGAAGATATCAAACATTCTTTTGTGTAGCACTGATTTTGACTTTTCCATAATTCATTCTGTTCACGTTTCCAATAAACTATTACTAGTATAAACATAATAAGTAATAGAATTGGTCCAATAATTGAAAAGATATATTGAAAACGTTTAAATATATCATTTAATTGATTAGTACGTTGTACCGGTATTTTACGTTGTACTGTATCAACTAATGATGTTTTCATATGATTTACACGTTCCCATAGATAATGTTTTTTATCTGTGGTTGTTTGAGGTGTATTAACAATAGAAATACCTTCAGTATTATCACTAAATACTTGATATTTAAAATTTTGTCCAAGATTTAATGAATTTGTCGGTGAAATTGATTTAGTTTCCGTGGATGTCATGTTTGAATACAATTTCAATTGTTAAAAGATAGGTACGTATTGAATGAGTATAAATTTGTCTATAGGGAAAGTATAAGTTATCAGTATACTTAATGCTGATAATCGCCGGGCACTGTTACTAGGCTAATGAAAATATTAATCATAATGACAGAATTCATGTTTATATATATATATATATATATATATATATATATATATATATATATATATATATATATATATACCTCTAATCTCCAGCACTGTGTGTACTCAGAATGTGCTTATTATATACAGACTTGTAGACTTAAGCATATACATACATAAAACATGTACATATATTTAATGGACATATATTTTGATCAGTGATATTATTTCGAGTCAGTAAAATCGTTTATGTGCAACAATGAACACTCTGATTGGATAATGTAATTGACTTGTAAATGAATATGAGAACTGATAAACAACAAGTTTTGAGCTGTTAATATAATCAGTATATCATTATTTAAATTAGTTCGTCTATAGATCAACAATAACAACAACAATAACAACAACAACAATGATAATCATATCAGCTAAGAGAGTGAAAACCATCAGCCAAGAAATCAACCAGACTTTTATTCTAATCACAATCATCTCATACAACACATATTACTTATAAAGTAGTAATATATTTAATTTATTCATTTTGAGTAATATGACAGAATAATAAAAGTACATATATATTAGCAATTCAGTTCATTGAATGAATCTTAGATGTGTTTAGATAAGAAAGAAATGTTTTATAATGAAATACACAAAATGTTTTTGTATAGAATGAAGACTACTAGTTAAAATTCAAGATAAAATTATATTCAGCATAAATTGTTTATACATTAGAAATTGTATATCATGGGTTCGAATCCCGCAGGGGGCGAGGTCTTGGATGCGCACTACTGAGGAGTCCCACAATAGGACGAAACGGCCGTCCAGTGTTTCCAGGTTTTCCATGGTGTTGGTTTAGCTTCAACTGACTCATGATCTTAACCATTAGAATAGAATTAATTGGTTTGAGATATTGTTTTCATGAAATATTCGACTAAGATCTTCGTCGAAATTTTCTAGTTTGTTATTATTAGATATTTTTCTTACGAAAGATCTGCAATCACCATTGAAAATCATTTACACTATACTTTGAAATAGTTTTATAACTGGTAAATGACCGCGGAATAGTGAGCTCTAGATAGTTATTTGATTCTAGTATAGGAATTCGGAGTAGTACACACTGACAAATATTACTGAGAGTCAACCAAAAATCTATAGGTCTATTAACAATCACGTTATTTCAAAAGTAAACAAAAAATGGAATATAATGTTTCATACTGGGTTATTAAGGTTTATGCAACACGTTTAATCGGAATAGTTGAAGCATACAACAGAAAACCTTTGCTTTAAGTTTTTGTACTGGTTGATATTCATCCACAACGAGATGTACTTGTAATTTCGAATGGACTAGTTCTCCCTAGTGGATCTGAACTCATGTTATTGTGTTTCCTAACCTCAGACTTTAGCACTGAGCTATTCGGATAGCGACTAACCTCCTGTTGGACTTAAATATTTGTAATTGATTGATAATTAAATAGTGGCTATGGTCATATTTATGTAGTCTTATCGAAAATACTGCTTGTTTCTTTATGGAATACATTTTTTTAATGGAATAGAATTAAACACTGATTCCTTTTATGCATACGATTTTAGCTAGAAATTCCCCTGGATATACTACTGTACAAACTACGTACGCCTGTTTCTCCTCGTATAGGAGCATAGGGCGCTCAACAGCATTCGCCATCCACGAACTCACAGAAAACAATATTTCTTGTAATTACCTACTTTTCTTTATTCTGACCTAATTATCTTATAATATGGAAGAAAATATGGATATAATGTAATTCATTTAAAGTTGATCAACTTATATAAAGGTTATTTAATGTGATTTTCATAAACCACTTGTCTAATCCAATTCAAACTCAATAATAGAATTGGAATGTCAACTTAACTGTTAAGGCATTCGTAAGTAAATTTATTTGAGTAAAGAAAAAATGAAATCAAATGATATAGTTGTGTATATAATACACTTGAGCTAATGACATAAAGTGTTATCATAAATATGATATTATAACTCACAAATACATAGGAATTCATCATTATACGTAAGTGTCATATCCTATTTATTTATTTGAACACATAGATATTTAGTACAAGAAGGCACCAAAAAGATATGCACCACACAGATCTCATTTGATCTGTGTGAGGGCTGTGTTAATGCTCGGGTGCCCATACCAAAGCAGGTGGTTTTCTTAGGGGGCCACACTCGGAGCCTTTGACCTGAAGGTCTGATCCACAAAGCAGTGGAGCATCGTAAGGAGATGTAGTCCCATGGTAGCCGGTGACCAACGATTGGTTCATACGCCATTTGTTCCTCCAGGATACTTGAGCTAGCCCATGTGGACCATCGGTTTGGGATCCGGTTAAAGCGCCGGACATTCGCTTTACGTCCTCTCATTTTCGTAAACAACACCCGTGGTGTGAGAAGGCAGTGAGTAGGACTTCCCTGGCATAGGCTGTATACACGTGGTCATGTGAGAGCAGTTGGAGAGGGAGAGCGGACTTTCCCCACTCTCGGCCGTACCAGGGCATTCGGGGGCATAAGTGTTATATCCTAGTGAATATTAAATTACGGGTAACTCCCGAGGACTATTAATGAACTAATATTATTTATATATTCTCATGGTATAAATATTCAGTAACTAGATTATGTATATCTATATTCCCCTTGTTATAAGCTTTATTTTGATCTATAATTTATTGTTGTACGATTTACAGTTTTTAAGCTATGTTCAGTTTATTTACTGCTGCCTCCCACGTTCACAGCCACATTTTTGACTTTATTGTGTACAAATGTTATTTCCTATTTTATGGTGCGTTGTGGTCTGTTTGTTTGATATATAAACCCAGTATGTCTGAAATATATGATTCGATTCAATTCGCATAGTGGAAGCTGATATCGGTGTTCTGGATTCAAGTGGACGGGCTAGGCGAATATATGACCAAATAAGGACGCTAGGCTGCTCATACCTGCTGAACGTCACTGGTTTGCCACAGTGCTAAGATTGTATATGTCGTATTTTGATTCGTGGATAAATCACGTGATAACTAGCCGAACATAAAGACACAACAATAAGAGTGAGCCAAAATGACAACTGAGATTGTAGTCCAATGCGTCTTATCTCATATTATTATAACAATTCTTAAAGAGATAAGGGTACAGAACAACAGAAAACAGTGAAATGAATAATCTGTCCAGAAATTAGAAAATATATTTCTAGTCCTACTGCTTCACTTAAAATTTACGTAGATTAATCCCAAGTATGATGACAATAATGTGTCTACTTTTTTTTATTCCAAAGTAATGGAAGTTATCAAAGTAATGTTTGTGGATATAAAGATGGAGGCTCTTTTTTAGGGTCTATTGACCAGTATATACTTTTTTAAAGAAATAACTTTGATGTTATCCAGTCAGTTAATATCTACGTTGTAACATGATCTCCTATTCAGCATAGAAAGATCACTGTTAATTCATATTCACTACCTATGCATATGAACTTGGCTATCTTCACTCCAACTCTGAACACGGAGGTGTTTTATTCAAGGCTTCTGTAAGTAAAGTTGAAATATTAAATAATGGTAGCACAGTTTTTTTTTTCTATAATTACCGAAATCAAAGATATTGTTAAATGTTTACACAACCGTGGAGATTCAAATTAGAGTGAAAGTAAAAAGTCTTTATTCATCATAGTGTTGTGCAATTGAAAATGAAATCAAATGTTAGCTATGAATAATTTAAAGAGAAATTCACGTTACAAAGGATGATTTATAAAATTTTCAACAAATCAAAAACAAAATTAATGAAGCCAAGTGTCTCTCATGAACTACCAAATAATAGTTATGACCATATTAATAAAACATGCTTACTTACTTACTTACTTACTTACTCACGCCTTTACTCCTCGTGAAGGAGCATAGGCCGCTCACCAGTATTCTCCATCCAACCCTGTCCCAACCAATCCTTTCCAGCTCTCTCCAGTTCTTATTCATCCCTTTTATATCCGCTTCTATTTCCGATGTAATGTGTTCTTTGGCCTTCCTCTTTTCCTCTTCCCTTCAGGATTCCAAGTTAGGGCTTGTCTCGTGATGCAGTTTCATGATTTCCTCAATGTATGTCCTATCCATTTCCATCGTCTTTTCCTAATTTCCTCTTCAGCTGGAAGCTGTTTGGTTCTCTCCCACAAAAGGCTTTTGGTGATGGTATCCGGCCAATGGATGTTCAGTATCTTGAGTAGACAGCTATTGATAAATACTTGTACCTTCTTGATGATGGTTGTTGTAGTTCTCCAAGTTTCAGCTCCATGTAGTAGAACTGACTGCCTTGACGTTCGTATTGAAGATTCTGAATTTGATATTGGTTGAAAGACAGTTGTTTTGAGTTCCATATATTCTTCAATTGAAGGAATGCTGCCCTTGCTTTGCCAATCCTCGCTTTTACGTCTGCATCTGAACCTCCTTGTTCATCGATGATGCTTCCCAGGTGTGTGAAGGATTCCACATCTTCTAGAGTTTCGCCATGAAGAGTGATTGGATTGCTGTTCTCCGTGTTGTGTTTGAGGACCTTGGTTTTCCCTTTGTGTATGTTGAGGCCTAGTGATGCAGAGACTGCTGCTATGCTGGCTGTCTTTATCTGCGATAGGAGGGCTAGGTCATCTGAGAAGTCGAAATCGTCTAATTGGTTCTGAGCTGTCCATTGTATTCCGTGTTTTCCCTCAGATGTCGAGGTTTGAATATTCCAGCCGACCATCAGAATAAAGAGGAAGGGAGAAAGTAGACAGCCTTGTCTATCAGCTCTCCTCCATGCACTACTTTGCACTGTAGTCCGTGGTATGAGTTCCGGATAATAATAATAATAATAATAATAATAATAATAATAAAATATACATTAAATAAAATATAATCACACACCTTTCATTTGTTTCGTACTCTATTAGTGTATAATAACTTTTTATTAAAAGAATATTATTGTTTCATGGTATCACCAACAGTTTGTAATAGAAACTGGTTGATCACTTACATAACAACAAAAGTAGA